AATTCTTCCAAGGTCTACAGTTCCTAATTAGCACTTGAGAGAGAAATGTAGTCTGTCCTCATTTTAAAGATTTGGGAGAGCAAAAGAGAAAATTAAAGACAGAGAAAGAGAGAGGAGGAGGAGGAGGACAGAGAGGATATGACAGAGATGTCGTTAATGATAAGGAATACTCTTTTTGTCTCATAAAAGCTATTTCATGTCATTTCAACATATTTTCAGTCACAACAGACTTCAGATCAGATGTGTGGACATTTAGAAGTACTATCTCAAATATAATGAGTTCCTGACCACTCAAACATGCAGTAGTTTGCAAACTAAAAACTAAATTCGACTGAACTTGAGCAGCATCATTTCTCCTTCTCTAAATGGAACAAGTAATGTAATAAACATCTGAATGAAACTGATGCCATAGGTCAGAAAGGATGAACAGGTCTGCGTCTCTGTGGATAGTCGTGCATTTTGCATAGCAGTTTGGGTTATTTCGACTTTAATTACACCACAATTACATTGTACAGCAAGTCTGCATATGTAATTACTCCAATTTGTAATTGTGTAATTAGATGAATATCCATGCTTTATAACCTAAGGCATCCATTGGCAAATCCAATTTCAATTTGTATAGAGCAAGTGTTTCGCCCAAAACGGCGGCAAGCTGTAAAGACCTGGGGATATACTGATAATCCTTGCCATGTTAAAATGCTCTTCTTCTTAACAATATTTAGACATGGGGGATTCTCAACTGGAGGAAAGAGACAAGGCAGGTTTGAAGCCTTAAGCAACAGAGATCCGGCAGTAGAAAGACAAAATGCTTTTTCACTTGGTTTTCTCAAGTTAATAGTACATGAATCGCGTTCAAGAATGTCTTGAAATAAAAACAAGAGAGGAGTATGATTCTTAATAAGCAACCATGAGTGCCACACAGGGCCTGATATGAGAAATGTCAGTGTACTAACTTTATAAATACACACCGTAAAAGAATGCTTTTTGAAGCTGTAAATAAAACCTGAGTATGTTTTACAACACTTGTTTCAGTTTTAAGTGAATGTGTGTGTGTGTGTGTGTGTGTGTGTGTGTGAGAGAGAGAGATGTGTTTTGCCATTCATTGTACGCTTCTGTTAAAGACTTTCTTTTCTCTCTCCATTGCTCTCTCTCTTCCTCTCTCTCTCTCTCTCAGCTGTCACTCAAAGTCCCACAATAATGAATTCAGAAACACTATCAGGAATGAACCCCCCTTGTTTATGAAGCCCAATTCAGACTGCGGAATCTGAAATAACAATAGATCCCCTCCTCAGTCAAGCCAATCTTGTAATGGTAATAAGAAATAAAAGAGAATAGGGAAAAATGTAATAAACTAAAAAAAAAAAAGAGAGAGAGAAGGAAAGAGGTGCAAGAGATGTACAGAGGCTGGAAATTCTATTGCACAAGAAGCATATTTAAGGTTGATTATTGAGAGGAGAGGAGAAAGGCCTTTAAAGGACATTTCTGAGGCAACTTTTTTTTCCCTTTTTATCTGTCTCTCTCTGTGTTTAAACAAGTGCAGTGTCAAAGACAAAAGCGATTGTGTCGACCTTCTTTCACAGTTGAGATGTTATTGTTGATTACTGTAATTCAAGTTTAACTCAAAATTGCAGTGGGTAGGTGGTTTAGAGGTTGGGTGAGCTTGCTGAAGGGAGACAGCAGATGAATCTGCCGTACCTTAAAGAGAGGGTAAAGAAAAAAGAAAATAAAATCAACACATGATAAAGGAAGTCTGTTCTCTTTGGGGTAGAGGAACGTGCAAGATATTAAAAGTAAAACAGAGGTATGACATGCCACATCCTGTTGCATACTTACATAAACATACACCCTTCCTCCCCCCAAAATGAAAACAAAAAACACATATGTATATATGTATATGTATGTGTGTGTGTGTGTGTGTATATATATATATATATATATATATATATATAAACAGGCCATAACATGTATTTTCTTGTTATATCCTTGCTAATTAAAAGAAATGAAATCATCTCATATTTTCCCCACCTTAAACAAATGCTGGGCTAATAAAGATATGCTGCATTAAACATTAAAGCACCAGTAGGTAAACAGACAGTGCAACACTTCCTTCCCTGTACATCACACCTTTAGTTTGTAAGGGTTTGTAAAGTACATGTTTTGTGTCATGGCCTGAAAGAACAGCCCCCTGAGCATGTGCATGCATACTTTTAAATAAGTATGTCAGAGAATCTGCCAAACTGCCTGCCCCTTACTATGGCATCATTCCCCCCTAAACACACACACCTCCCTGTACTTGCAAGCAAAGAGACCTGAAGGTCAATCTTAAGACAAGAAGGGGGGCTGGCATTATGCCCGCTGCACAGTGAGAGCTCCCTGCCTGCTCCAACTGAGCTGGGCAGCGACGTGGGATTTCAGCTGGTGATCACACTCTACCTTGACACTACCTCACACGCACAGGGAAGAGGGGGGAGGGAAGGATGGAGTGGGAATATATATGAAAAAATATAGTGGGCATTACAAGTAAAATTATGAGAAAAGTGACATCAAAACACCCAGATGCTAGAAAACTGTGCAAACCAGAATGTAATCTACAGAGCTACAGAGTTTCAGGCCACAAAGTTCAGAAGCTGTAAACTGATTATACTGTAGGTTCAACAATCACTCACATTATGAGCTCAGCTACCTCTGGGTGGCACATACTGTATCTGGGAGGGGGGCACAAAAGAAGTCAGACTCAAGAATCATGTGAGAGGATGTTTGGACTTGGCCAAGATTTCCAGCCAAAAAATGTAAAACAATATGTGAGGCATGAATGTAACACTGCCCACACTTCAAAAACACCATACCTACAGTGAAGTATGGTAGCATGGCATCATGCTGTGAAACTGCTGTAGGCATTGAGTGTCTTGTTAAAATATAAGTAACAGAGGATGGGCCACGATATTGGGAAATTCTGCAAGGGAACCTGTTTCAGCCTGCTAAAAATACTTGGGTGAGCGTTAATCTTTCAGCAAGATGAAATTATCCAAAACATATGGCCATATATGAAATGTAAAACCAACAGAGAATCTGTATCATTATTTAAATAAATAAATACATACATATATTATATTATATTACTATTTATGTAATTATGTATACATTTTGCATAATTACAATTACATAAATGTATAAATAATTTATGTAATTATTTATACATTTATACAATGGTCAACAAGTTTTCAAAAATGTCCATAAATGCCATCAGACAAGCTGGAGGAAACCTCAGACAGAAAGAGAGAATAGATTATAGCAAAAGAGCATGCAAATGGTAAGATGGTAAAAGAGGGAGAGAAAAAATAAGTAATGGTGACTTTGGCAAAACATCACATAACCAATTTTTCAGATTTGTGTTTATTAAAACTGGTCTACTTGTGTACAATAAAAGCTATGAGACTGCCAACGAATCAATAAATAAATTGTATTTTCATTCTCTGTCCCATGATTCAGTTAGTGCTTAACATTTTTATTATTAAACACTAATCACTTTAATTCCAAATACCCTGCCAATCTAACAAAAGCTTGAGAAGTGTTTATAAAATGCCATGAGCTAAATCTCAAAGTAGTAGTAAGAGAGATGCAAAAGAAAGAAAACTTCCTGCATTAAAATTCACTGGATAATTACTTCCGTAACATACCCTCCTTTCTGTTGAGGAGTGTTTAGGTTTAATAGTCTCTGTAAAGAAAATAGGTTTTATCTTCTTCTCATTTTCATTAATTCCTAATTGGGGTGGGGGTTGTCTGTTATTATTCCTTAGATTAAAATAAACATAGCCCACTGCATGTTCAAACTCATCTCACTACATGAGGGTGATAAGGACTGGGAATAAATAAAAATGTCTTCTTTGCTGTTGAAATTAAGTTGCTTAGAGCCTTAAGCTAAGCCACTTTTTTTTCTTTTCTTTTTTTGATGACTTAAAAGCACATTTTACCCAGCAAATGAAGTTCATTTTTTTGACCTGCTTTATATGTATATCTTTAATTAGTGTCTTGTTTAGCTTAAGCTAACTGATTATCACATAGACGTGACCTAATTAAGCCAGGCTGCTTAACAGTGGTGTACCACCCCAAGGAATGAGAAAGTTACCTTTAAAACTTCTGTAATCATTAGCTGCAGCTTCACTTAATCCCACTAAACATACATTTTTATCACACAAGCTCTGAGTTCCACAGATGGGGCGGGGTTTGCTGTCCCTCTCCCTTGCAGCAGGATGTTTTAATCACTTGTAACATGTCCGTACATCTACATAGGCTTTCCATTGTGAGAATGGAATATGGATGTTGTTTTTATATAGTTAACTTCATAGTTAATGGAAAATTTAACGGATGCCAAAGGATAGCTAAAGTATGGAAATGTCATTAATGAATTAGTTTAAGAACACAGTAAATAAAGACACTAACTCCTCCTAAGGGTGTTTGATGGCTATTTGAACAGTGACATTACTTGTCAAAGTTATGCACTGAATGTGCTGCTCAGATTTACGTTGGCATTGCTACATTGCTAGCGCATTTGATCACCTACCCACCACCTAACAGCAACATCACAATCAGCCATTTTCTGTAAACTGAAAGAACTAACTGTGAAGAATACCAGAGCGCAACTGCATTCACTTCCTTTTCATTGGTTTCAGTGGTGGCTTTACTGCATTAGCTGTCTATTGTTAACGATCTCTAAAGTCGACGGATAACTTTGAAAGCTTTAAAAGGCCAACTGTCACATATTCTGAAAGACCTTAGCATTTACTTTACACAGAGAATATAGGCATCGTGCTGAGGCTTGAGGATCAGTGTCTCACTAAACCGCCTTGGTAGACACAACTAGCATGCTAGTGCTATGTATGGATCTAAACCCCTCGATATGGCCATCACACCAATTTGCATCCCACAGGTTCTTCCTCAGTTGTTCTTACCCACTGTGATATATATATATATATATACATACAAACTGATAACTTTCTTACCTGAAGATGGAGAAGAAGGGCGGGGACTGTCATCCTGCACACTGCCCGTTTGGGAGTGTCCGCCTCCAGCACCGCTTTCTTCCGTCACATTGGAGGAGCCTGGGGTGGTGGATCGGCTGATGGACTGAGATTCAGGGTCGCTAGCTGAGCCACGCCTTTCATCCAAACCATGCTGGGAGCTGTCCTCTAGGGTTCGACGGTCCTTGTTGTGTACCCGGGAGTGGACCACCATCTGGTGATAGGTTCTAAAAACTCTGCCGCAGTCGGGACATTCAGTCGCTTTCTCTTTCAGGCCAGCCAGGCTGTACTCAAGCCCTTGGCCCAGGCCGAGACCCCCATGGTGAGGCAAGAAATCACGGTGGCCATCAAAGCTTACACCCTCATCTTTCATGGGCATCATGCCTCCACTTGTCTTCACTCCATGAAGGACATCAGGGTGTTGCTTCTGCTTGGAACCATCACTAGAGCCTAAGGTTGGGTGATCAAGCTTGTCTTTCCCAAAGTGAACAATCCCAGCTGCACTGGCAAGTTCATCTTCTTGTCCATGCCCCTCATGGTGCTGCTCTTTTGGCATGAAGGAGCGTTCCATAGCCATTCCACGTGCCATGATTTGCCAGGCTTGATAGCTGTTCAGGGGGTCCATCTCTGCCACCTTAGCTGCGGCTTGCAAGCGCTCCATACAGCTTGACTTCAGAGGGGGCACCAGGTTCAGGCAACCCAAGAGTGAGCGCTTTTCATTTTCCCCTAAGCCATGGCCCATGCTGGCCATTGGGCTCAGGAGCTTTCCAAGCATCTCCTTCTCCTTCATAGCTATACCGGCCTTGGCCAGCATCTGGTGCTGCTGTTCAGCCAGGCCTTGCTTGTCGGGTGTGAGGAAGCCACTTCGTAGACAAGAAATGTAACGTGAATACAGGTTGGCATGGGCTTCTTGAGCCAGGCTGCTCATGCTGTTCACAGAGGGTCCATCTTCACCAGCTCCTCCACCAACACGGGGCTTGCTCTTGATAGCCAGCTTGTTGAGATGCACCTTCATGTGATTCTTAAGGAACCAGGGCTCCTTGAAACGGCGTCCACAGATCTGGCAGCAATGCTCGAAGGAGTCTTTGTGTTTCCGCATGTGGCCTTTCAGAAACCAAGCTTGACTGAAAACCTGGCCACAAACCTCACAACGAAATTCATTGTTGGGCTTCTCTCCATTGCCAGCTCCTGTGCCTTGTCCCAGGGCTGATTCAGCTGTGATGTGGGTTTTCTCCACATGGGAGATGAGGTCCTCCTCCTGGGAAGCAGCAAATTCACACAGGGTACACTTGTAGGGCTTGTGGAGAATGCGAATGTGGCGCTCTAGCTCCTCACGCTTCTTAAATTTACCCTTACAAAAAGTGCACCGAAATCCTTGGGCTGGGTTGAGGGCTTGCTCATCTTGCAGGTTGGTACCTGCAGGCTTAGGTGAGGCAGACGGCTGGCTCAGTCCATCAGGCGAGCCACCAATACTGGTTGGAGTGAGCAGGCCACAGGCAGAGCTAGGCTGTTGCTGGTTGTGACCCTGTATACCCAAGTGGGGTGGAAGAGGTTGAGAGGGTTGCAGCAAGCTGTTCCTCATTTGCTTATCACGTAGAATGGCCCTCTCTTCAAGTTCATGAAGCAGCCGGTTTTCCTCACGTACGCGACCACGGCCCTTACCAAGATTTCCCAGCTTATGGGTGCGGAGGTGGATCTTCAAGTTACCCTTTTGAGCAGCTCTGTGGTCACAATAGGGACATTTGAAGGGCTTCTCTCCAGTGTGTGTACGCATATGAAGAGACAGGATGCTGTTGAAACGGAAGCGCTTGCCACATAGCGGACAGGGGTATTTGCGGTTCTTGCGGGCATCATCTTCTATGTCGTTCATCTGGGACATGATTCCCAAGTTCTGCCCATTGAGAAATTGCTGCAAATCAACACGGCCATTGAGACCGCTCAGGGCACCCACATCCATGTCACGGTTAAGCTGGTTGGCCAGTAAGGCCATCTGACTGCTGATTGGCTGACTAGCTAAGGCAGCGTGGGTTTTCTCATCCATCGGGGTGGCTGCCTTTTCCTCTGGGATCTGTTGGCGACTCTGTAATTCAGGAAAGGCATGACCCAGCTGAGCAGTCAGCTGATGAAGTTTCTGACTGATTGGGTAGCGGCCATTAAGTACTGCATTGCTGAGATGGGTGTCAGCATCCGAGACCACCGAGGATACACCAAGGCACAAACTAGAGTCCTCCATCCTAAAGGACAAAAGACACAAAACAGGCATTAAGTAGACTATTCAAAAGCATAGAACAGCAGGTACGCAGTCAACACACACCTCCTTATAGCCTTAAGGCATCACTAGTAAACATATTGTATTATCACTGTGCACAATCAACAGGAAATACTGCACAATATATCAATGAAAGTAAAATGATACGCGGAACGTCGGAATATGAGTAAACGTGCAATAATTTGAACAGAACAGGTCACAGCAGACTATCTTAACTTCACCATTGTCTGAGAACTGCTCGTGAAGAACACCCACTCTGCTCTCAGATTTCATAAAAAATAAAGACCTTTTCTCTTAGACATTTAGAAATACTGTATAGTGTGGTGAAGGTCATATTTCCAAGTTAAATAGCATCACAGTGTCAAGTCTGTCTTAGGCATTAGCACAAACACAAAGGTATTTCATTTTTTGCTAAAGTGGGTGTAGGGGTGGAAACAAAACAGTAGATATAGTCTTTTGTGTGAATCTACATCTCCGATTATATACTGCATTGTCTGGCAAAGGAAATCACACCATACAGCAGTTAATTCAGTTCATTCTTGAGTACCCCTTTGTGTGTCAGCAGTCTGACTATGGTGTGAGGAAATGGTTAACAACGATGACTGCACTTCAGTGACAAGTGTGAAGAAAAAAAAGAGTGAGTTCATCTCCCTCTGATTTATGAAGTACTACATGTACTCTCACACTTGGGGAGAGAAGCTGCAACTCTCAGAACTTTTTCTCAAACAGTAACACAATTTTGGAGGCAATAATTACCCAGTAAACACGGCAAGGCGCCGCATAATTAAGCTACTTGGTCCCATCCTATCAGAATCCCTCCAATTACACGCCTTAATGAAACGGAGCAATGGTATTGTCATGAAGCCACCGCAATACTACAATTATGATATTAACAATAGCACTTAAAACCAAGGGGTTACTCCAGCAAACACAAGCCCTTATCTCACTGCTGCGACACTTGTCTTGGCGTAATTTTCCATTAAGAGGCACATTACGTTTGATGCAAATTATTCTGTGTTCACCTTCTTTTTTTCCCTCTCTCTGTTCTCTCTCTCTCGTATGGCTTCCGATGAGAAGAAAACAACAGTTGGCGTTATTGAAAGGGTTCCCAAAGTATCAGAGGCTTCCCAGTCATTTAAAATGGCCACAGAGTGGCCCAATGAACCGTCAGCCTAAAACGAATACATGAGCAGTGTCTGTTGTCATCTGGATAGCTTGTGCTTATTTAGCATGCTACTCACCATCTTAAGGAAGGATAATGATGTTGCTGCATTCCCCTGCAACTGACAGGGTCAAGCTTCAGAAACAATGAAGTGAATTTTGCTTTGGTCAACAAAATATTGTATAATATCTCATTAAGCTGATTAGTATGCTGCCTGGTAACAGTGGCTATGCGCTTTAACACATGATTATGAATGTGAAATAAATGCACTGTGGTCATTTTAACAAAGACAATGGCAAGAGCAGGTGTTCAGGAAACTGCGTCCAGAATAATGGAGATGAGAGCTTTCTCTTCTCTACACATTATTTGGAAACACATGCTGGTTTGTCTCTTAAGCACTCATCGCCTGAGGAAGGGTAAAGTGTTCTGGGCCAGGAACCCACACCCTTTGGTCATTAATAAACCTTTTAAATGGTGCAGATTGACCCAGTTTACTTATTAGAGAGGGACTACCTAATGACTCAGCACCTGAGCTGCTGAAACATTATATTTAACTTTTTCTCATGGCGGTATGACAGCTCCTGTACATGGTTTTCACATGACCCAATGCACAGGAAAACAAATAACTGATTTCTTTGTTGACAGGCAGCAGCAATTCCGACAACCAGTTGAAGGAACCTACTGGTCTGGTACAAAAAAGCGCATTTCTTGAGAAAAATACACAAAGGCTAACAAACCAACACACACACACACACACTCAGTCTGCAGTAGAAGGCAGTGGGCTTGGAGCACATATTTGCTGATGCTCTCATAAGAACTCTAATAAGGGCCGCCTGTTCTTTAGCTATTTGCTCTTCCTACGCCATGTCGGTTGAAGTCTTATCTCTCCAACATGAATAAAAACACTGAGGCCACTTCCAGTCGCTTCTAAACACACTGTGGGCTGCTGCTGAATGCCATTCCTCTTTTGTCCAGAGCTATAACTCTGAGAAATTTAAAAGAAAAAAAAAGGCTGGAATCTGGATGCGAACAATAAACTGTAGGTGTATTATGTATTTAAAGACTGGGTGTGTTATAAACACACTCACGCGTGTAAGCACGTGCACTGCAAATTATACATGGCTAAGCAGTTCTGTGAGGATTTCTGATATTCAGCAAAATGTAATACAGGAGTAAATGCAAGACAAATATAAATCACAGACGGTTCGCTCTGCCAGGTCATCTAATTAAAGCAACGGTCCTCAGACAAAGGCCTAAAAGTGCTGGGAGATGTTTGGGTTTAATGCGACGCCTTATGACTTTGGCGTTTCTTTGGGTAGCGAGTTGTTCAAATTGCTTTTGTCGACATTGCAGCAAATCCTGGCAGATATCAGGCAAGGCCCTTTTTGGATGTGGCTAGCATGCCTTCTGCAATAGAAATCTGTGATTTAAGTGAGGCATGATGAGCAGTTGCTCATTTGGAGAGATAACTGCTTGCCCTTTTCTTCAATTTGATTTCCTTCTTTATCTTTACCATATAACAAAGGCAGATAGACAAAGGAACAATGTGAAATGAACTGACGAATCCAGTTTGTTTTTGAACATAGCCTCGCCTGACGACTGTATGCAAATGAAGTGCATTAATATGCCTTCCTTGCTCCCAAGTCATTTCATTTTTTTTTTTCTGATTAAAAAGGACATTTCATATGGTTAAAGAGGTGTCACACACTCACACACACACAGAAACACTCACTTCTGCAGAGGCAAAGTATTAAGTTCATATGTGAATGAAAACGCCTGACACAAAATACACCCACAAACAATAACACACGCAGTCTGCAATATTTTAAAGAGCATCTATAAATAAATTAAGAAATGAATACATTAATAAATAAATTTGATACTGGGAATACTTTAAGAGCGGCATCACTATGGAACAATTATCAGTAAAGTGCATATTTTCCACAGTATAATTAGCAGAAACTCCAAGCCAAAAGCCTTATCTCAAACGAAACAAAGTCATTAAAATCTAAATACATCTGCTCTTAAACATCACCATGCTTAATGCATATCTGAAAATGCCTCTGAACCAAATTTGCAGAGCAGCAAGCACATTTGGGGACTGGGGGTGGGGGTCATTTTGTCAAAATGCATACACTGTCATTTTAATTCAGAAGAAAGCTGAAAAAAATGCTTTGCACAATTCGCTTCTTCACGTTTTCATGTGGTTGTTAATTTATAGATATACCTAGAAGCAAATTTAAAACACTCCACTTCATACATCTACAGCACATTTAAGATTTCAGCGTTCTGCCTCTCAATATATTTCATCAGTGATGAACGTCTCTGTTATCTGCATTTGTAGGATGCCCTGCAAAGTTTCAGTGCCTATCCTTCCTCTGTTAGAAATGCTAATGCCTCACCTATTTGGATCAGTGCCATTGAGTCGTGGCCCACAGCATGTAGGCCTGACAGCAAACACGGTGGTGGCTCCTTGTCCCAGACCCCCGTCTCCCTCTTCCCCCTCCTCTCTCCCTCTCGCTCTCTTCAGGCTGGGGCAGCTGGGTTAGCCAAGAGCTAGACGAAACGATCGAGTCTCAGCGGCCTGATACTACCTGTCACATGTAGCGTAACAGCAGCAGCGTGCTCTAATTAACGCGTGCACCGCCGCCGTGTCTCTTGAACAGCCACTGAGACTTCCTTTAGTGCACTGTCACACAGGGCCCAGTGGCATGCAGCTTTACAGTCTGTGGTTAATACTGAGCCTTTCAAGCAACATGGCAAAACAACCGGATTTTTGTCTTATCTTTACCTCACTTTACATCACATTCTGTTCATTTTGCAAGCTCTGCAAACCACATCTTAATTAGAGGGTGCACATGGCAAAATCAGAATGCTGTCCTTCTCTTCTTATCTTTGCTTTGTCAAGCTGGGCCATGGTTTCAACACCAGAGAGTACACGATGCGATTTATGTTATGAGCATATAGCATGATCTATATATCACCATGAGAAATGCACCAGTGCACTTTGTGACAAGTGTGATTCAAATGGCAAATGTGATGCATTGACGTTAAACAAAGGTGCATCTAAGATATTTGAACTGATTGTGGTTTCTGATAGAGCCTGCAGTAAGAATTGCAAAGTGCGTGAATATGTTTTGCATTATCTGGCAGCTAGATAGCTTTCGGGAGGGCCAGGCTTTGATTTTGGAACGTCAAGGTGAACACGACTAAATTAAGGCCTCTGTAGCGACAAAATATTACATTAAACTTGAGGTACCTGTGCGCGTTCGCGTCCTTGAGCTGGTCCTCTAGTGGCTTCTTGCAAATCAACATGTAGGGCAGAATCAAGGTTCCATATAAAACACACACACACACGCACGCACGCACACACACAAGTAAACTTTAGCCTTGGACAGACTCTGAACAAAGAGTTTTTAAGTGTACAGCTAACCTCAAAGAGGACATAAAACCCATCTAATCCTTAAACGTTCTAGATTACACAGCATGTTCAAGCCCTAAATCAAATAACAGAGAGCAGATCTGGCTCTTTCGGGCTTTGCGTCTTGATATAACATAATTTTGGTGTCCTTCTGCATCCTTGTTTGGGAAAAGTATGTGTACATTTACAGAAAACAGTGGTTTAGAGGGGGGAGAAGGCATTGACAAGTAAAACAAACTGAAGTCAAAGTATTCACGAGCTGAAATGAAAATAAAAATATAGATCGCGAGGCCATTAGCTGCTCTGTTATTGTGAAGCTTTATCGACCAAAATCCATTGACTAATTACTATGCAGTAGCTGATTAATTAATTATGAAAGAGG